AAAATCTCGTTCTGAAATCGCGGGTTTTCCGACTATTCAACTGGAATCACTGCAATCATCACCTAGACGACTATTGCCAACTGAAACGAATCTTGCGGAGTTGTTATCCAAAGCAGCACTGTTGTGTTCCTTGCAAGAAAACAAATGTTATTGGCCTAAGCAGTGCTTGTCTGAAGCATGCCTTGCTGAAATGCGTAAAAAAGTTTTGTTCTCGGCAGAGCATGTAGATAAGGACCGCAGGTTTTGCTTGGAGCAGGTCGTCGTGGTCGGGCGACGAGGATTCGACGGAACGAGCGATGCTCCCCCTCATCCCACGATATTGGATAGTACACCCAACCGGTACGGTGTTGACGAAGGAAGTCGTCGAGTTACTGAAGAGGGAGGTTGACGCTTGTGGTCGGCGGCATCGCCACACACGTTTCTATCAACTGCCGGCAATGCCTACAATATCACGGTGGCCATAAGAGAGGAGAGGCGAAAAACCTCGGAAGGGGCAATAAAAGAGAAGAGACGAAGACTGGCGGACCCTCGACGAAAAGCGTGAGTCGTAGCTTGTGCTATTTTGCCCCTCCCCTGTCCCCTGCCACATTAACTAGAAACAAATTGTATGATTTGCTGCAGATCCCGGCCTTGCCTAGTTGAGCATATAATGGCGGACTTGCCTAAGGAACGTCCACAGTGCTCACCGGCATTTACAATCACTGGAGTGGACTATCGTCAATAAAATGTTACATCTGCGTGTTCGTTTGCGTTGATTTGAGGCGTTATTGTTGGGAGCAGCAGTGAAGACCGCTAAAAAAATACTTTTATCGCTCTATGGGATCGGCTCTTCTTGGCTTCGACGAACTACGCAAAATGCCAAATTCAGGCTCTAATCAATTCTCGTCCTCTTGCTCCAATTTCGGAAAAACCCGATGATCGTGGAGTTTTCACTCCAGGACATATCCTGATTAGTCGACGTCCCATCGATTTCCCCGAAAAAGGCATATCTTGATCACAATCGCCTTGATCGCTGGCAACGTATGACTAGCACTGGAGAGAGGAATACCTCACCATTCTAGAACAGCGTGGAAAATGGCGCACCCCACGGATTTCATTTCATTCTTCTTGTATCTCTATCGCATCGAATTAACTTCGCCTAAACAGCTACTACAGACTCGGCATTAAATTCAAAAATAATAAGCTAAATTAAATCGGATTGGCTTTTATTTGTACCTTCGTAAATGATTCACGCCAGCGGCAGCTTCCAACAACATATACAAATACACGATGACATACGTAAATAGAGAAACATTGCGAGTATTACAATTGTAGTCAATGCGAGTGTTCAAATTTTAGTCTCAGCCGCATGTTTTTCGTTTTGGGTCCCTTCTCGCTTCATTTGCACTCTGACATGTATACTGTCACTCAATATTATCGCATCACGGCCAGTCTGACATCAGCCTAAGCCTTCGAACATTGTATACTTTAATAATTATTTGTTTCTTTTCTGCTTACACAATAATGGACTACCTCTACTTTCAGGTCGTTATTATAATATTTAAATACGTGCATTTACCAAATCACATGGTATTATTGCAATATATTTTCTATAAATTTTAAGGGTGAGGATGAATTATTGCAAATAAGTAAGCTGACATTCATTTTGCACACACATACAAAAACACTGCGAAGTTAACAGCGACTGCGCTTGGGCTTCAGTTATTTTTTGAATAATTTTTCTTGTAATGAAATTTTAAGAACGTGATCATAATCTAATGTGTATAGATTCTAAAGCACAAGTATCTTCTACTAGAAAATACGTATTTTAGAAATCGGGAGCAAAATGGGGCGTGGGATCCTAAATCTGTAAATGAATTATTAAAGTAAATCTTAAGTTTCTAGGTCTAATAGTATTCAAATTAGGCTTTAAAAGTGTAATCAACTTATCGATTATTCTCGGTAAAAATAAATCGGATGAATTATCGAAAAATATGATAAACTCATACTGGTATACACGAGTATACATGCAAATTTTTTAATCTCTATCTGTTATATCTTCTGAGATCCCATCGCTGAGAGCAATACCGCATCAGCTCGTCGCCCTAATCCTAAATATATATATATTATGGGGTCTGCGATGCTTCCTTCTGCCTGTTACATACTTTTCACAAAAACATTATACTGTGATTCACATTTTCAATGGGTTCAGGGCATTAAAAATGGAGTAGTTATCGATTGTTGAAATCAAAATCGATCTGCGCGTGATATATATGGACCTAAGAAAAAAGTCAAATCTCTAAATCGACACGTTCAAACAGACGGACTATTCACTCAGTTCGTCGCTCTGCTTTCATGAATACATATAATTTACGCCTGATACCTAATAGTTAAGGGTATATAACAATAGACTTCGGTATTCGAAACTGTATAAACTTGTACTGCATAACTTTCAATTTGAATATTTTTGTACAAGGATGTGTTCAATCGAAATTTTAATTTTTTTTAACTTTAGTTGAATTTCTTACCGGTTTTGTTCCTTTTTCGAAAATAGTTGATAGTCCTTGAATATTAACAAAGTCCGAGGCAAATGGAGCATAATGGTAAGGAAAATACCAATTCCAAGAAGCACATCCTTGGTAATAATATTTTAAAACCCAACACAGTCCTCTAACATATTGTAGTGCAACAGCATAACGAAATTGAAGATTATCGGGCGATACGTCAAACTTGGACTCATAATATCTGTTTTTAAAACCGTCTTCCCATAGTCGCACTTCATCATTGTTTTCTTCGTCATCATCCAAATTGGGTGCTGTACTGGGACGCTTTGATGCCATTCTTACGGATGCTGCTTCTTGTTTATAGTTTGATACAATTTGAGCTTTAGTGGCTGGTCCAACTGCCGAAGGCCCAAATACAGATTGTTCTAATGCCTTAAAGTTATTATTTTCCCGCTTTTGCCTCGCCTTGTACTGCTGTTCTCTGCGTTGTCTGTCCTTGAATATCTGATCTTCAACATTACCTAAGTCTGTCATGATTAATTGCACCCTATCCAAATTAACTTCACCTGAATCTGTTAAATACCCTTTAGTCTTATAAACACATTTTTTGTAAAGCTCAACCAGTCGATCAACTGCCCCTTCACGGATTTCTAAGCTAGGTAAATGAGGTAAAAAATCGTTTCCTACAAAAAAACACATGAATACCCAGTCATCTAGAACTCTTTCGAAATCATAGCTGAACGGCAAATTGGGCATTTGCAATGTTTTTTTAAGATATTCTCTTAGCACACTTAATCGCACAAATATAAATTTCACTTCTGCTCCAATTGGAATATCTGGTGTAAAATTACAGTTACTTGAACCAACTGCACTAAGGCCAACACACTTTTCCATTTCGTGGCCGAATTGATTACAAACATCACAAGGTCGTGGCTTATTTGGAAGAAATTCTTCGCGAATTATAGTAAAGTTTGGTTCGTGCGTCGCAAGCCCAAGCATTATAAGATCTGCATCAGCACCACAAAGAACGTGATGGGTGTTAGGATCATGATCAGGTTGTGCGCGTTGCTTCCGAATATAGTCCATGATTTTGTGCTCTCCTTCGCCAGGAACATTTGCGTCAGATAAAATAACTTGTATTCGTTTCCATGCTGGATTGGTGTTAATGCGGTGATGAATATAATAATGTAAGCATTTACTTAGTCGATCCATAAAAGGTGTTCCTGGAGTTATACAATTCGAGTCGAAATGTGTGCCTTTTTCTTTTTCCGGTGGAAGTTTGCAGCCTAAATACAAACACAAAATATAGATAATATTAGGTGTAATACGAAAAAATACCTACAAAACTACAAGATTCCCTGAACCCTACAAGTTTTAATGGCTCACATTGTTTATATCTTTTGGAGATATAGACCAAAGGATTTTAAATTTATAATTATATAATTTTATATTTTATAATTTATTTATTTAAGGCATATTTTACATAAGGCAAAACTTTTTTTTTAATAACATTTCTTATTCGTTT